GGGAGTTCAGTGGGCATCTGGCTGCTGATCGAGGTAACCCACCACAGTCCTGAAGTCAAAAGACAGGGTAACAGCACTTGCTTATAGGAAAAAGGGAGCACCAAGAAGCCCCAAAAATCTACATTAAAACTCTGTACCTCCACTTATTTATTCAGTAAAGAACAAAGCAGCAGCACAAGACAGCATGACAAAAAAAAAAAAAAAAAAAAGAGACATGGATGCCTGTGACTTATTATTTAACATACTGGGTCAGAGTGGCCCTACAACTGAAGCTGAAACACACAACAGGTCACCAGCACTAGAATAAATCGTATCCTGGCATTGTGTGATCTAAAACAGCCTAGGAACTCAACAACCGTTTGAAGACATTAAGTACCTGGCTTTAGCTTTCAACTTGTTTTCACATGCTGCCAAGTAACATTTTACTCTCTGAATAAGTATGGAAGTGTAACATTTTACTCCCTGAATATGAATTGTAAGTCTAGAAGTCTCTGTATTTAGTTTACCAGCAGGGAAAAACTGTGACAGCTTGGAAAAAGAAACCAAAAAACAAAAACCAAACACACATGTTAAATGAAAGTGCATTAGACTACTGTTTTTAATCTTATTTTTGTTATCCTTAGGAGAAAGGTTTTGCAATGAAAACATTTAACAATAATCACCACCACCGTTATCACTTATACTCAATTCTCACACAGATATCTACAGCTGAATACAAAAGCCTACCTGTTATTTTACACTGTTGGAAAAAGTTGTAGGGTTTGGTTTGTGGGTTTTTTTTTTATTTTGGGTTTTTTTAAGAGCTAGCTTATGGTGATTCTCTAGTACAGGTTTCAGTCCTGTATAATTTCTGTATTAGATTCTATGAAGTCAATGATGAATGTTTGACTCTGAACGTACCCATTACAGCAGGTAATTTTATATGTTCAGCTCCACAGGACAAACAAAGCCCAGGGCCTGAGAGCCCTTCATACAATGTACTTGATTTAATAAAGCCAACATGCAAGAGAATTTTTAGTAATATACATTAAAAATTCTACATTTAAGCTTAGCTATAACTTATATGAAATTATTATGTATTCCACCGCTCACAGCGTGGAAAAAAAAAAACCACTAAAGTTTGTATCAGAGAGAGCATTCACAAGTACACACTGAGCCTGCTCGGTTTGGGGGCTTTTTTCTCCCACAGAAGAAATAGGTATACTAAATTTCCCTTGCCCAATGAAAAACTTGATTTGATGCTGAATGAAACACTTGCTACTAAATAACCAACATTTACCCTACGAAAATACATGATCACACAAATACTGCAAGTGAAACCTTGTTAAAGTAACACCAAGCCACAAACCCAGTCTAAGAACACAATCCAGAGCCTCCTAGAAGTTCATGTATCTCAAAACTGAGTTGCTTTAAGTGACTACAGACAATAAAAATGTGGAGTCTTAGCCCAATTAATTATAAAATTGAACAGTATCTGTCAGCTTAAGATCAAAATTGATTACTACAAAAAGAAATCCAGTCAGTCTACACAGTACCTAAAAACTTGGAAGCTTTAACTCACGATTGCAAAAATGAAATAATTCATGTGGTAGAGGTTAC